TGGCCCTAATCTCCAGCAAAGTCATACAAGACTTCCATCGCATTAATCATTACCCAGAGCCGGCCTGCACAGAGATCGCACGGGGTGATCACATGACTGAGCGTGGCGAGCTAAGGGCAGAGGGGGGCTAATTAAACGGGGCATTTACTGCCAAAGACCCATATGTAGATCATTTTGGGCTGTATTGGAGCTCAGACCGCCCCCGGGGCTCCTGGCACCGGGGACATGTCTTTGCTTTACAGAGCAGAATCTTTTATATTCTGGTTTTGGACACAAAGTATCGTTAAATATTCTCAGCGACCGATTAGATTGGAGGAGAATGTCCCCATAATCATCCGATACAAAACATCTGTGAGAGGCGATCCTCCGATACATTGTATCCGCTGCCAGTGGAGTAACAATCGCCATAGCCACCCAAGCGGCCGCTATGGGGCCCGGGGCACAGTGGGGCCCGGTCAGAAATACCGTGCGGGCCGCCTGGGTCGCTATGGCATCCTCTGCTGGCGGCTTTCACTGGCGGCTGTGAAGAGGAACGCGCCGCTGTTCAGATCACTGACCGTAATCTGTGCAGCAGCGCGTTCTTCTCACAGCCGCTGCTGAGTCGATGAGAGCCGGAAGCGGCGGTGTAGCAGGTTGGACCCGGTGTTCTGTCGACGAGGAGGCGGGGCCCGGTGGCGGAGAAGGAGGCGGGGCCCGGCGACGGAGGAGGAGGCGGGGCCCGGTGACCGAGAAGGAGGCGGGGCCCATCAGCGATCGTGCAGGAAGAGGACGCGGACAGGTAAGGAGTGTGACCCTGCAGAGCCCACCATAGAGAGTCTTTGGCGGGCTCTGCAGGGTCACCCTCAGGTGGGCTGTGTGGGATCTCAGGTGGGCTCTGCAAGGGGCATAACTAGAAATCACAGGGCCCGCTATTAAGTTTTGCTACGGGGCCCTGTGATTTCTAGTTACGCCCCTGTCCGCTGCACTCGGTCTGTACTGAGATTTAGGGAACCGGCTCTGTGCAGATATTTTATATACATTTGTCACATTTTATATGTTTGTTTCCTTTCTATAAAGATTATCTCCGTCATACGAGATGTATACACTATATATATATAATTCTCCATGAAGAAGCGGACTTTGTTCCAGGAAACGCGTGGGGTGAAAATCATTGTGTGCCGGATGATCTCTGCGCTGTGATATGTGACCCTGTGCGCGGCTCTCTCTCTCTCGTGTGGTATACAGTATACGGATATTCTATATATATATATTATCTTTTTATGTGAGAGTTTATTGCAGATCATAAATGTCCCCGTCCTCCTTTATTACCTGCGCTGTACATTCCTTGAGGGCCAGCTGACTTCAATGCACCACCACGTCCTCTCCCGCCCCAGAACGAAGGGGGGAGCTTAGTGTGCGATTACTGTGCGTTCCAGCAGCTACCGCTCTGGAACGCACCGCAATTGGTATGAAGTGTTATAGACATGACAGCCGCACATTATTCCCTCAACACTTCATGCAGATTGTCTGAATATTTAAAGTCTTTGGGGGAGGGGACATTAGAGTGTCAGCTCCTCTGTACAGAGACTGATGACTGTGGGGGGGAGGGGACATTAGAGTGTAAGCTCCTCTGTACAGTGACTGATGTGACTGTGGGGGGAGGGGACATTAGAGTGTAAGCTCCTCTGTACAGAGACTGATGTGACTGTGGGGGAGGGGATATTAGAGTGTCAGCTCCTCTGTACAGAGACTGATGTGACTGTGGGGGAGGGGATATTAGAGTGTAAGCTCCTCTGTATATATATAAGGAATGCCATGTACGGATAGACAGGAAGTCTTCTCACCTTTGATCCAGCTGGAGGTGTCAGGCCCAGAAACGTGTACAGATTATTATTCTCTTTGGCATCAAAAAAAGCATCAAAGTCCTGAACATGGAGACGGGGAGAGAGAAACATTACACGCATGTACATGTACTGTATAGATCATGTATACTCACACATACAGACATTACAGGACACGCCATCATCATTCCCTCACTGTCCTCCAGAGGTATTGTAATAAAAGGGACAGTTGTTAGGGCGCATCCCCCCCTCCCCCCCCTGCGAGGAGCCCTGCACTCTATATACAATGTTTAAAGTGACCCATTTCTGAAATTGAGTCGCCAGCATTTGGTGACATTTTGCAGAAATGAAACTTTTACTGAGGAATTGAAAACTCCGCCCCTCTTTTTTCCTTATTTGGGGGTGTTTTTTCCATGAGAAGTATTTTTAGGGTAGTGACGTTTATTTCAGTTATGTATTTGTGTTCTTTTTTTGTGTATTTAAATGGTTACTAAACCCTCCGGTGTTTTTGCATCTATAGATGGTTAGCAAGCAGGAGATACATGCAAAAAGTAAACAAAAACATAAAAGATTTAAAAGGAGAACTATGAGGGGGGGGGGAGGGGCTTTTCACTCCTCCTCATAGTTCTAGCCGACCTGTGAAAATGAGACTGTCACAGGTCGGCTCAGTAGATCGGGAGGTGAGCGAACGCATACCGGCGTTCGCTCACCTCTCGATCCTGTCACTGCTCTCTGCCCTGACAGGGGAGGGACTGGATTCTCCCCTCCCCGCTCCCCCAGCGCTGACTGGCGGAAAGGGACGGGGGAGGGGGCGGGTACAGCTGACTCTGCCTCTAGATAGGAGGAGCCAGCTGTCAGTCACGCAGCTGGGCGGATCCCGTCGTCTAAGTCGGGATCCGCTGCGGCGTCTCAGTATACCGCGAGCTGTAGCTCCCTATATACTGAGCTTAGGGTGACGGGAGGACGCTAGTTTGTGTCCTCCCGTTACCCTGAGGAGTACTATGGGGGAAAAGCCCTGACACCATAGTTATCCTATAACAGCGGTTTAAACCTGTGTCTGCGCCGCGCGCACCCGCCCGAAAATCTGAAAAATCCTCGGGCGGCCGCAAACCATCTTGGGGGCCGGGCGCATGCGCAGTTCACATTTTCGGCCGGGAGACGAGGAGAGACGCAAGGTGAGTCTATGGACGGCGTGCACCATTTTTTAAGCGTCCCATCCCGCCCCGGTAGGCGGTGGGCACGAGCGGGAAGCCGGCTTTGAATGTAAACAGCCGGCGATGGCTGTTTACATACAAGCGTTCAGGCGCCTGCAGAGACGCCCGATCGCTTGTAATAGGCGTGCGGGTGTGCCCCCCTCCGTTGCAGCCGCTGCTGGCGATCCCGAGCTCCGCTGTGCCCCCGATGTGAGCCCGGGACCAGCACAGCAGCTCTGCGGCCGGAGCTCAGTACACGAGCTCCCTCTGAGCTCCTCCTCCTCCTCTCCTGAATGCAGGAAGTGACGTGTATGACATCACTTCCTGCATTCAGTGTCACTCTCCGGTACAGAAACCGGAGAGAAGCTGGTGAAGCGGGCGTTTGCTTCATCAGCTTCTCCGGGGTCTTAAAGACCTCTGATGTCTCCATAAAGAGGACCTGTCACTGAAAATTGGCTATCACAAAGGGGGCTTGTTAGTCCCCTATGTGATAGCAATAAAGTGAAAAAAAAAAAGGTTTAAAAGAATTAGTAAAAAAAAAAAATTAAAAGTCCACATGCAAACATGCGTCGAGTGCGCCTACGTGCGGAAATGACGATTGCACCCGTTACGCCGCACATGTTACGTATCGCCGCGAACGTCGCAGTGAGAGCGATAATTCTCGGCCCGCCAATCACTGATAACACGAAACTGATGAGCGGTAAAAGCTTTTAAAGCGTCGCCTATGGCCAATTTTGGGTATGGTAGTTTTTGCGAGTTCGCGGGTGCGCGCAATTTTAAAGCTTGACATGTTTGGTGTCTATTTACCCGACGTGACCCCCCGAATTTTATATTTTACCAAAAGTTTGCGTAATAATAAATGTTTTATAACATAACGGAGGGAAAACTGTTTTTTTGTTGTTGAAATTTTCGGTACTTTATTCATTATGTAGTAAAAAAAATAAACCCCCCCCCCAGCGGTGATTAAATACGACTAAAACAAAGCTCGATGTGTCCCCAAAAATGGTATAAAATTCATGTCGGTACAGCGTTGCGTGACGGAATAAACGTCAGTCAAAGTACCGAAGCGCTGAGAATTCAGACTCTGGAAGGTATTAATCCCTCATATAGAGCAGCAAAGGTGGCGGGAAGGTTTGAGGATCCAAATTCAGCGTCAGGAGTGAGACTGAGTCACATAAAACAGGTCAAGAGGGCTTCTAATTTAAATTTAGCATTATAAACGCACAACACAGCGGGCAAAGAGGACCCTAATTTGCATATAGCAGTATCGGGCACAACACAGCAGGCAAAGAGGACCCTCATTTGCATATAGCAGTATCGGGCACAACACAGCAGGCAAAGAGGACCCTCATTTGCATATAGCAGTAGGATGGCACAACAGCGGGCAAAGAGGAGCCTCATTTGCATATAGCAGTAGCGGGCACAACACAGCAGGCAAAGAGGACCATCATTTGCATATAGCAGCAGGATGGCACAACACAGCAGGCAAAGAGGACCCTCATTTGCATATAGCAGTAGGATGGCACAACAGCGGGCAAAGAGGACCCTCATTTGCATATAGCAGTAGGATGGCACAACAGCGGGCAAAGAGGACCCTCATTTGCATATAGCAGTAGGATGGCACAACAGCGGGCAAAGAGGACCCTCATTTACAGGCAAAGAGGACCCTCATTTGCATATAGCAGTAGCGGGGCACAACACAGCAGGCAAAGAGGACCCTAATTTGCATATAGCAGTAGCGGGCACAACACAGCAGGCAAAGAGGACCCTCATTACATTACAGATAAAGAGAACCTTCCACCTGTAACAGGGAAGCGGGAATATAATTACCCCAAGGTACTGGTCATCGCTGAAAATCTGCGGGGGCAGGGGAACGCCGCTAGCTGGCCGGAAGTCTTCCGGAACGTTCTCCCTCATCCACTTGCGGTTCTCCTCATTGGCGGCGATGTCCATCAACTCATGCGGAATCTTCAGAGAGTCCAATATGGAGAAAATCGTCTGCTGGTTCTTCTTTATCTGAAAGCAGAGAAATCCGATCGTTACCGGTTCTGCCCGCCGCCCCCGCCGCGGTCACACCAACAGGAAACCCCACCCAAATCCTGATATCCTCATTATATTATTATACATTCATATAACTCTGACATATACCGCAGCGCTGTACAGGGAACACTGAGCC